ATTGATTTATATAGAAAACATTGCATTAAAAAGTCTGTTTTTCAAATGAAACCCAACCAGTTCAAACTTTTATGAAATTATGGACACAAAAATTTGCAATGGCTGAAACAAATAAGACAGAAAAGTTTATAGCATTGTGTTTACCTTTWTCATCCTGCTTTTCTGAATCACCTTTTTATCTTATTGTGAAAAGGACAACATTTTACCAAATAATCATCCAGTTTTGTCAGCTATGATGATGTAGAAATTAAGGATATGCATTAAAACAAAGCACATCAGGACAAACACATAAACATTTCTGAAAGCTAATTAATTTAGCAATTTAAACATATTAAATGCTGATTTGTTAACTGTTCAAAAGATAAGAAAGTTGAGTGAATTCTCACCAGCAGTTTGACAGTTTTTATGTCCTTACAACCATGTTTTTCTTCTTCTGGTTTGACCTGCAGTCCTTTTTGTCTGTTGAATCTTTGGCGCCCCCCATTTCAAATGGAGGACTGGTGCACTGCAGCATCTGGGCTGCAAGCACTCAGCCTTTAAAGGATGTTATCAAACAGGGTGGACAAAGAAAACATGAAAGGATATTTATCTTCATAGGGATACGCCCCCTGCTGGTCATTTGGTAGAATGAAAATTCAAGGACTTTATCATCAGCTCTCGGATCGAATGATAAATTTCTCTTGGTGGTCCAATGGTCCAGGCCGATCCACAGAGCTGGTCGGACCTTTTCTGTTGTGGAACCAGTTGTTCCTTCACGTCAGACAAGCTTCAACTCTTGTTGTTTGTATCTTATTTTAAAACACATTTGTTTTCAAAAGCATTGAATTCAGCATGAGAGTTGATTTTTCCACTTTTAATGGTTTGTTTTTGGTTTTATAGTTTTTAGGATCTTGCATTCTGTTTTGATTATGTACAATATGTGAAGCACTTCTTCCAATGACAGTTGTTTCGATTGTGATTTAAAGGTGACTTCAGATTTTCAAAATAAAGTCAGAAGTTTAAAGGGGATGTATCATACATTTTTCTAGCCATTAAATGCWTTTTGTTGTGTACTTTGAGTTTCTAGGAGGTGCTGCACAGATATCGTTCTATTCTGTTTTGGCCATATTTTCCAGTTTTTTTGTATTTTCTATGATGTTTTTTGAACTATTACATCACAGTTTGCGATGGATCTGTTCAATAAGGTCTGGACTTAATTTGGTGGTCCCGCTCTGGGTCAGACTCTGCAAGTCTGATGGACAAGTCTTCTGTTGTTGACACCTTTTTAAGTGATTTGTAAATAAAAATTTTCTATAGTCGTAAACCCCTCTACCAAACTGGAATGGACCGGTCTGGAAGCTGGTGGGGGGCGGGGCTTGAAGCGCCTCCCTTGGATTTAAAGAGACAGCCTCAATTTCTTTTTTCTTTATAACAAACTTTGCTCAAAACAGAAACAGTATATAGTATAAAAGAATGTCCCAACACAGACGAGCTACATCTAACGGCCAGAACTCTGCAGTTTTCACTCATTTACAGGCCAGCGGTCACTCTTTCAAAGATGAGGATGTTCTCATTCTTGATAGAGAGGAACGTTGGTTTGAGAGAGGAGTAAAAGAAGCCATTTTTGTGAAGAAAGACCGTCCATCATTAAACAGAGGTGGAGGCCTCCATTTTCAGTTGTCCCCCTCCTACAGCGCGGCCATTGCCAGTATCACTCCACCCACTGTTAACAATAGGTGTTAATTAGGTGTCAACGATAGCCATGTGATGTGAGTATCAGTCACATGGAGGCAGTGCTTAAAAGCCTGAATTTTGCCTGAAACTCTCAGACTGAAGAAGTCTGTTGGAGGAGAGACGAAACGTTTCATTAGAGAAGAACCCGTCCAGAAGACCTATACATTTTTTTCTTTTTGAGCGTACTGTAGTTGTTATTTATTTTCCGGGGATTGGTTTTATTTTTAATTTTGTARCGCTGAGCTGTACCATGGATTAACTCTGCTTTCTGTATTCTTAACAAATCCCAATAAAAGACTGTCTTTAATTTGGACGGTTTTCCTTTTTAGATTTTTGAGCCGAACACTGCTGACATAAAAGTAAGTTTGTGGCAGGAGAATACGACACAAAGTTTTTATTGTATAATAATAATAGATGAAGCCATTTTTGGTTTTGATCTTTTGATGAGCAACATAATGACAGTTTTCAACACCAGATTTAACGAGGAGCGCGCTTCATACCAGCTCATTATGTTGCATTRGATCTGGTATTAAAGCCACCTCTAATTTCGRATCATCTCTTCCTCAAACACACAGATGTGTCGAACACGACGCTTCACTTCTCAGAGTGTCTCCCAGTTGTCGTCCTCTGGGCCATCTGTTCCTGCAGCCAGCTCGCAGCGCAGCTTCCAGGGGACGGGATGATGCGTTTGYCTGGGGAGCCACGCGAGCACAAAGGAGGGGGGCCCCCTCCTTTGATCCTTCTATTCGTCCTTGTGTCTCCCTGGCTCGTACTCGCCGGTGTGACGGGTCGCGGGGCTCGCAGAGCCGAGGGTCCCGCACTCCAGCAGAAGGAGCCCCATTGACGGAACAACAGATTGCTGTTGAGTGTACCTGATGGTCATCTCTCCCCCCACTCTTTCTTTAAGCAACCAAAGACAATCCCTGTCTCCATCTTTGTAATACAAATTGCCACTGTGTAGTAGAATTAAGAGAGCGCCAGAAGCCATTGTTGTTTAATCTGTATCGAAAAGGAGAGGTGATGTTGAGCGCAGTCCTTTTCTTAGCAAGGATTAAGCTAGTTTTTTTCCCTCTGTTAGCCCTCTTTGGGCAATGTGCTCAAGTCAGATWGGATCTCAGAGACGGAACAACTCCGCAGTGAAACTGGATGGACAAAAATGTGTGTGTGCAGAGTTTGCGGCTGGATTTATCATTAGCCGAGCAGAGGGTCATCTGGCTCTAATAGGTGTTCTCAGGTGTTGGTTTTGATGTCTCCAGCTCCGTGTTGTTTGCTGTTGGGAATCAGATCCTGGCTTTCTCCTTCCCCCCCTCTGCCCTCCCCCCGCCCCGCCTCAGTCCCTCTGCACCGCAGCTAATACCACGCTCATTACACTGCCATCGATCGGTCCTCTCTGCACACTAAAGGGCAAAGAAGTCCTCTCCTTTTTCCTTTTTCCTCCTCTTCGTCAGCCCAACCTACAGCTCTTTATAATCTTTCTCCTCCTCACACATCACCATTTATTTCACCACAATTATGTTTCTGTCCGAGGAGATGAAAACTGGAAACTTTCTGTTCGAAGTTTTCCTTTTTCTGCACAAAGCTGATAAAACAGAACTAAAACAGT